TATTTTCACCTTTTTCTACATTTTGATTTGAATAAAGTATAAAAAAATAATAGATATTTCATATGTGTAGAAATCTACACATGAAGTATAAAAACGTAGTTTTTTTTTAAGAACAAAGGAGGGTTAATTATGTTATTTTCTTGTTTATATACTTAACAAAAAATTTAAATACTTTTCTCTAATTTTTTGTTGACACTTTTAAATAATTCTATTTTCCGTTTATGAATGAATATACAGACACATATGAATACTTTAAAATATATATAAATAAACGTATACATATTGCACAAAAAAATTATAAAACATTGTAAATAATTATCATGCATCAAAAATTAAACATAAAATAGTTGTGTTTGAAAAACCACACAAATAAACTTTTTCAACAAAAAAATATTGTAAACATTTACAAATTAGTTTAGAATTAAATAAGTGTATAACACTAATACATGAGAATTTAATTTGTGTATTTAATAAAAATTTTATTCATATTTTAAGTAATTGATCTTTTAAAACATTATTTTATGTTATACTTTAACACAAATTGTAATTATACAAATACATTTTACGTATAATTTTTAATTTTAAATCAACCATTTCTAAGTTGTTTTCAAAAAAAAATTTTTTATTATTGCCAAAAATTAAAAATTTTTTTTTAAGATTTCAAGAATAACTAAATAGTTAAATTTGTTAAAATTATCAACAACAAACAATAATTGCAACATAACAAAAAAAATGCGCAAAAACAAGAGGGAAAAAACACGTAATTTTAATTTTAAGAAAAATATTTTAAAATTAAATTAAATATATTTGAGACGTCAAATGATTTCAAATGTCAAATTCTATGTATTTAGGTAAAGCCTATAATTAGTGCAAATTATTCAAAATAAAAACATTGATGGAATTTAAAGTATGTAACTTATAGGTAAATGAATTTGTGTAATTAGTAGTAAAATTTTATTCTTAATTCTGCTTTCAGCGCTGTATTCCAGTGTGGCTATATTTAACTTACTAAGTAAGTACATACTTTTAAAAAAATTCTGCATTTTATTAAAATTTGTCATCATTGTTTTTATTATTCACATTTATTTTGTGAACCTATCATTTATTTTTGATGACATAATTTAAAAAACTGAACTTTCGTAATTTAAAAAACTCTGATTTTGTCAGGCCGTAACCGATCGCAATATATAATGTCCAATTAAGTGAAAGTGTTATAGAAATGTTTTTTAAATACTTCTTTCCAATTTTTAGGGCCTTAATAAGTTTTTAGTGAACATACCTAGAATTGTGTCATCCGAATTCCCTGAAATGCTTTCCAGTTAGTTTCAGTAACAACCAGAACCCAAATATCAAATTTCAAGAAATTTCATCAATTCGTTCCGTAGATAATGTAAAATCGTCCCCAAGATCGGTTTTTGAGCCCTGATCTTTCCAAAAAACTTAAAAGATTCGAAAAATTGATCAGTCCATGACATAGCTAAAACAAATTCACATATAAAATTTCATGAAAATCGGATCCGCGGAACTTAAAATACACGCGTTGAAATACAGCACACCCAGACAGACAGACTGATACCTATTTAACAATAATTTATTCACGCTTCCCTACAATGGAGAACTGCGTTCCCACCGAAAACTCGTTATGCAAAACTTGTTCCTATCACATAACCTCCCTTATTATATGCAATGCGGTCGATAAAAATGAACTGTCAAAAATGAATTTGTCGTTGCGAAAGATGATTTTTGTCTTCCATTCATTTTTCTTTTCATTCCCATTTTGTGACAATGATGACAGAAGACTTTGTTTACTTTATTTTTTTTTAATTATATACTGGAGAACTCTAATAAATTATTGATTTTGACATTTCGATGATTAATGGTGCTACATTTCATATCTGAGTGACTTGAATTTATAAGAAATTTACGAATAGTTTAATTTTTAATTTCTATATAATATTGGTTCTTAATTCCATAATTATGTTCAAATTTTTTAACTAATTTCAATTACAGGTAATTACTTATTAGAAATTTCAATTAAAGTGCAACTGATAGGAAATGATAAGTGAACCAACCGATGAAGAATGTATTTGAAAAACTAAAATTAATTTTGGAATTTTAATATTCTTTAAAATTAATTTAAATCCTTATAATTTCTATTAAGTACATAAAAATTTTACATTTTAAAAAAATAAAAAAAATTTAATTAATATAAGAATAAAAAAAAAGTATGATGGTGCTTCGAAATCTCTAAAATCAAATAAAAATAAGAAGAAAATAAAAAATAGCAAAATAAATAAATATTTTTTTTTTAAAATGTCCTTAAATTTATTAAATTTTTTTTTACTTTATTATTCAAAAATCTAGCAATTCATTAATTAAAAAAATTATTTATTTTTATCTCTGTTAATTAATTAGATCTATAATAATAAACTGTATTATAATTTAATAAACTTTTAATCGATTATGATATTTAATTATTTTAATTTAATTATATATTTATATACATAAATATGTACATATACACAAATAGAATTAACAAAATTTCAATTAATTTTATTCACACATAACAATTAATTATAAGCTTTTCTAGTTTTTATTCAAAGTTATTGACATTGTTTTCTTTTTTTTTCTTAGTTTTGACAAAACAAAAAATTTTTTTTTTCCTTTTTAGAAAAGCTTTTGTTTATTTTTATAATAAATATAACACTTTTGTATAAACATTGTTATTATACTTATTTATATATAGAAATTTTATTAAAAATAATTATTACAGGTGATAAATATTAATTTATTTATATTTATTTTTTATTTTATTTTTTTAATTTAATTATTTTTAATTATTATTATTATTTTTATAAAAAAAAACTATAATGTTATTTTTTTTTTTACATGTACAATAATAAAAAGGCAGTATCTATATTATTATAACCTTTAACATTCTAATTTATCACTTGTTCTCATTAATTAAAAAATAAGATCACTATTATATCATCACGTGAAAAAATATAAGAAAAAAAAAACCAATAAAAAATATAAAAACAAAATCCGGTAGAACTGCAAAATAATTTTTTTTTGTCTTTTCTTTTTAAGAGTCCAAAGAATTCACTTTTTTTTTTTGTTTAAGAAAAATGATCACCGCACCGCCGTCATCGCCATTGATCATCCATCCGTCATTTAATTTTTTATTGATTATTATTCAAGTCGCGATCAGATCAGAACTGAGAATATTTCAAATTTTTTCCCTTTCTTCTTTTTTTAGTTTTGCTTTTTTTTTTTTAATGTAAACGTAATAATAATGATGTATTTATTTGTCAGTATCTACTAAATATTTCGTTTACATTATTATTATTTTTTTTACTTTATTTATTTAATTGGCTGACAATATATAAATATACTTAATATGAAAAAAAAGAAACGAAAAAACTAAAATAACAATAAAATTGCGATTTAGGATTGTTAGAACTAACATATACAGCGATTTCACATGAGAATTAAATACACAATAAATAAATAAATAAATAAATAATAATCAACACTGAGAGAAAGAGAAAGAGAAAATTTAAAGTTTAAGTAGTAGAGTAAAGTGTAGAAGAGAGCTGAGTATCGAATATAATTTTATTAATACAATATTAAGTTTATTTATACCGGTAATGGAATATATAATTGTTGTATGTTAAATAATAATATTTTTATGTGTTTTTGTATTTAAAAAACAATTTAGAAAAAATTTAAATGAAATGAAGAGTTTCAATTGTATTAACAGAAAAATTTTTGAAAAAAAATTGACTGATACAAAAAAAAAGGCACTAACTATCTGTCAAATAATTTTTTTATCTGTCAAATTAATGGTTTCATTTAATGTTTTTGTTTGCTTGTGTTACTATAGGTTTCTTATGTTTTTATGTATTACAATGTTTAAAAAATTGTTGATAGTTTATAAGTGGGTGAAATTTTTATACAACACCAGTTTTAATTAATCAGCTTATATAATAAAATGCAAAATTATAACTCAAATTTTAAATGAATATGCATAAATAAAATTGTAATAGTTACTTATATATAGAAGTGTTAATTGAATATACTTATTATGAAAAATTATTTTTAAGTTTAATTTTAAATAATGCCAGAAATGCAAGTTCCTATAACGTTCAAAGAGCGCAGGAACGAAATTTTATATTAATTATTGTTAATTCAATTATTTATTTGTCAAAATAAATGTCAAAAATGTTATTTCTATACTTTTTCTCCAAGTTATTGCAAAATTTATAAGGAATAACCTAATATAGGAAAAGCAACTACACTGAGGGAAAAAAAAGTTGAAAAATTAAAATTTTGCGTACTTAATTTAAGATTTTTTAAAAAAATGTTATTTTTACTATGAAAAATTTTAAATATAAAGAGAAATAACTTAATTTAACTTTTAGAGTTTTAATTTAACATTTTTAAAATTTAATACGAAAATTTTGTTTTAATTTTGAATTCTAAAAATTTTATTTTAACATTAACAATGTTAAATTTAAAGTTTTCTATTCTTAAAATCAAATCAAAGTTTTAATTGTTAATTTAAATTTGCTTTATTTTCATTTTAATAATTATTGCAAACTTAAATTAATATTTTCCAAAGTTATTTCAACTCGAAACCAAACTTAAAATAAGTATTTCCAAACTTAGAATAAAACTAAAATTTAAAAATCTTGCTTTGAAATTGTAGTTATTGAAATGGGTTTGGCATGATGTTATTTCAATATCAAAATTTAAAAATCAAATTTTTAAATTTCAAATTTACATTTATATTATTTATTTTGACAAGCTTAAAATGAAATCAATCAATTTTAAATTAAGATTTTTCAAACTTAATACAATGTTTTCACATATTTCACAACATTTTCTCTCATATTTTAACGGGACAAATTCGAGAAGAATTTTTTCTTTCTCATAATTCGTTCAGTTTGACTTTATGCTTGGTGCCGCAATGTTTATAAACGTGTTTTGACTTGTTTAAACGAAAAAATAGATTACATATTAAATTTAATAATTTAATATGTTAAATTTAATTTTAAAATGTTTTTAAAAAGTGAATAATAAAAAAAAAAGTTTTAAGTAATAATAAAAATGAATTTGATAAAATGAGTGAAGAAAATCCGGTAATTATTTTAGACGATTATTTAAGTGGACAACCAAAATCAACAAAAGAAAAATATGGCAATGAACAAATTCACGAATCCGTAATATTAATAAGCGAAAATGAGGATGATGAACATTTACTCGATTTTTTAGAAAAAAAGATATAACAGAGGCTTTTACATATCTGAAGCGTAAGTATTTCAATGAATTCTAATGCATTTTTGGTTTAAAAATTAGACGCATTTTAAAATGTTTAAACTACGAAGTATATCTGTAGGTATAGATATATATATACATATATATACATCTATATATCTACATATAATACTACACTACATTTTGTATATTTACGTGTAAGTAAAATATAGACTGCAAAGTTAAAAATTTACATTATGTAAACTGCAATGTTTAACAATTTTTTATAGTGATCACGTTAAAGGTTCAATTTTTAAAAGTTTAAATTTTAAACCATTTGAATTGAAAATTATTATTTCTAATCTTTTTTGTGCAAAATCAAAACTATATATGCATACTTTAAGCGCATATCTTTATTTAAAAATGCAATTACATTTCAGGCTCTGACATAACTTTTAGAAGCTTGCAATATACCTCGAAAGACGAAATACGAGAAACATATAATATATTGGTATCAGAGCTGAGTTTTTCGAAAAACTACTTCGTTGGCGAAAACAAGAAGTACGTAGCACGAATTAACAAAAAAAAATTTTAATTTAGATTTTTATTCACGGATTTTAGTTTGGAATGGACGATACTGTTACTATTACGAATTCTATTACACAGTGGGTCAATGAAAGTTCGGGTTGATCAAACAGTGTACCAGAAAGCTAACAAAAAAAGTGAATCTGATGCATTAAACGGAAGTGTTTAGTCACAGTATTTTCTGTTAAAAATAAATAATACTTAAAATTTTTTTTTTTAGAATTTCTCTAAAAAAATTTCATCCACAAGTAGAGAAAAATATTTAATTTTGCAATATCAATGCAATCAAAAGATGAACAATCGTCAATCAAAATCAAAAGATGAATAATTGTGGAAGAATTAGTAGCAAACGACGTTAATTTGAAAATTAACGATTTTCCAAGTTTGGTTGAAATTATGTGTGAACTTCCCTGATAAAATTAATTACAAAATAAGTTGTCTTATTGTATGTATGAAGCTATATGCAGATACATTTCATTTTTCATTTCATACATTATTTTTTCTATTTATTTCTAGGAATATAATTTTATTCCTCGCACTCATAAGAAATTGTGGACCTCTTAAATGTCTTTAGCCAATGTGAACCGAAGATAAACATAAAGAAGCAATAATTTACTTTAGTAATATTACGTCAGGAATGAATCCGTCTCATACATTAGCAAAAAAGTCTGGTCTAAAGTCCTCTAAGTTTTTGTTGACTTATGAAAGGGGCCTAACTTTCCATATCCAATATGGTAAATTTAGTACGATTAATTTAGAAAAAACAAGTTTTTTTCTGCCATAATGAAAGACATTAAGTTTCTACAAATTATGCAGGAATATAATTTAAATTTGCAATCAATGATGCTGTTGGAAATACTGATTTATAAACGAACCACTTACAAATTTGAATATTATTTAATATAATATAATGAGGAAAATACTGTTACCGGAACTGTTAAAATTGGAAAAATTTTTTGTTGTAAATGAAAGAAAATAAAATTATAAAGTTCGGATGATCACTTTCAATCATTTGAAGTGGGTCGAAAATCAAATAATTTACAAGTTTGCCGTTACATATATATATTTAGTTAATAATGGAAAAACTTATTTACAAATTAAATATTTATAAACCGTTTATGTAAGAATTATCATCAATGAAGAAAAATAATCATTTATGTTACTAAAAAACAAATAATTTATGTTAATAAAGTGTCAAAATCTTTAAGTTTCCATTTTGTTAATTATACATATTTTCTTTTTCAGATCGCAAAAAGTTAGCAACTCAGAACAGTATAAGAAATTTACCTAAAAAAAGAAAGTTCTGTAAAATTTCGGATCGAATTTGCAAATTTCTTTTTATTATCAAATTGAGATTTTGAAACCCATTCCCAATTATTTTAAGGTAACTTACATATTAATTGCTTAAATTTGAACAATAATTGTTGTTTCAATTGATTTAAATTTGATTGAAAAATTGGGAGTTTTGAAAAAAGTAACTTCATATTACAAAATATCAATATGATATTCAAATCCATCTTTTAATTAAATTTTTGAATTAAACTGTTGAAATTAAAATTATTTAAATTTAAATTAATATGTAAGTAAACTTAAATTTATAGGCCCTACTCTCAATTTAAAATTTAATAAAATTCGAATTGAGTTTACTCAAACTTAAATTAATATCTTAAATAAGTTAAAACAATCATGAAAAATCTTAAATCAAGTGTAAGTCATTTCATTTTAGTAAATAAATATTTAAGTTTAGGCATATTTATTTTAAATTTGTTTAAACTTATTTTAAGTTCGTTTCAGTGTTGGTCGATAATCATCGTGATTTATACTTGATTTAAGATTTTTTTTACTTAATTTTACATTTTTTTTCCCTCAGTGTACTTAATTCTTAAAAAAAAATAAAAAATATTTCTAAATTGAAAAGAAACAATTTTTTTTAAATGTGTTATACTTTAAAATTTTAATATCTGCAGTTAAAACATTTTCAATTCAAACAGTTTTGAACGTAATCTACTTGTACTCTATGAGTCTATATATGAACGTAATTATGTATTTATAATTTTTATATTTTCACTATCTCAAAAAAGAGTATTATTCTCATTTTTGTATTTTTATTTCTTTTTATGTTTTGGTATTTTATTTTTCCTTTTTTTGGGTAAGATATGCCTTATAAAATTTAATTTTAGTATATTTTCACTATATAAGCATAATAACCAGATACCAATTTGTTTAATTAACACATTTTCTATTTACTTAGTTTCTTATTATTGATTGTAATAGTAATAATCTTCGCAAATTAAGAATATAACGCATGTATGTACATATAAAAAAAAATTTTTGCTTTATTTTTTGCAGTACAAAGATTTAATCTAGGATTTCTTAAAATTTAAAAACCAAATTGAAATTAGAATGAACTCGCAGTCTTTGAGCAAATTAAATTTTGCATTTAAAAATCTTAAATATTTTTATTCAAAAAATTCTCATCCTATCTAAAATCGAAGCCAAATAAATATCCAACATTTTAAAAAAATATCAAATATTATTAGCTCTAAAAAAAAATTAAATAATTTCTTAAAAATTACAAAAATTATTAAAATTTTCCTCAATATTGTTGATGAGTTTACTCAACATTCTTAAACGATCTACGTGACAATAATAAATTATTTTAATTAAAGTGAATTAAATACGTCCTTTTTTCAAGTGAAAAAGAAAATTCAAAAAAGATTTTTATAAATTATCTGGTCCGAAAGAAATTGTGCTCGTAAGAAATATTTAAAAGCTTTCTTTATACATCAAGAAGCAAAATTTAAAAAAAAAAAAATAAAAAAAAAATTTTAAGCATACTTAAGTTGCACACTTTAAAAAAAAAAAATTTAGCAACTTTCCGAGCACTCTGTGAACTTTTAGTTCTTATTTTTTTTTTTGTTTTTTTTTTTGCTTTCTACTTATACATTATGTATAAGAATTGTATAACAAATATGTGCATATATTATGTATATTAAATTTTAGTCGCACAAAAAAAAGGCAATCATTGATTCTTTCACAGTAATTTCCCAAATAAATAAAATAAAAATGATTCACAAATGTTTAAAAAATAGCTCTAAATATATTTTAAGCACAATTAAAGCAAAAACAAAAAACCCAATAATTCAATTCTTCCGAGAAGTAGAATTAAGTAGAATTTTGTAAAGATTTTCTGAGCGTAGCTCAAATAATTTTGAGTTTAGGTTAGAACAAACGCAACAGAGGAACAGACGCAACGAATGGGCCGAATAGAAACGGACGCAAATGTAATTATGAACGAATGGAAAGGGAACGAACAAAACTGAAGATCGAATTGACTTATGACCGGATGACAAGACACAGCTAAGTCGGCACATAATTACAATGTACATAAGTATATGTGGGTATCAGAACTCCAAGTATTATTTTACAGCTTTAAAAATAGAGTGGTAATGTCATAAAAGCTATTAAGAGCTCAATTACAATGAATATTGTTGCTCCTATAAAATAAATTCTAGATTTATTTTTCATTTAAAAATACAATTACTGTACAACAAAAAAAAAATTCTTTTTACATTTTTAGTATCGAAATTTATTGGTTTTTGTACATTTTTTTTTTTAATAAATAAATAAATTTGTTTATTTATTTTCAAATAGATAATAGAGAAACCAATATTCTTCATTTAAATTTATAAGTGAAATCTGAAAATTTTTGCAGACACACTCTAAGATATGCTATCACTATATATATATATTCATATTTAATAAAAATATTTCAATAATTCGCCTCACTTACTTACTTACTTAATTTGTTTAGCTTCTATTCTTAACTGTATTTATTGAGAAAATGTGTGAAAATTTGTATTGTGAAATAAAAAAAAAAAAAAAGTATTCCCTAATAGTAAACTATAATTGATAAAGACTAATATTGCATAAATACACAATATACATACATACTTATATATAGAGATATAATTCTTATACACTCAGATTATACCAATTTAATCTAATATTATTTAAGTAAGAGTACTTACATACTTACTTATAATAAAAAATATTTAAAAAGCAACACACTCCGTCACACGTCAAAATAAAATTTTTATATTACTTACTTATATTCTTTAATACATTTTAAGTTGAGCTTCTATAAAGATAACGAGACATAATAAGTAAATAGATTGTTGATTACTTTAATTTAAATATAATATGTATATATATATATATACCTACTTATATATCAATATATAAATACAAAGATATGATATACAAATATAATTTGTGTGTATATATACGAGTACATATTGCACCCCTACAATGAAAATGTATCAATTAGAAAAAATGAAATTTCTCAGCCAATTTTTCCATTGAAAAGAATCTTAATTTTCTCAGTTTTCATGTAAGTATAATCCATTTTTTTTAACATAATCCAAGAGTTAATATAATTTTGCTGCGAGGGTGTCATATTTGAACAATATATTTAAATAATTATCTGTTTTATTATATAAAAATTTATTGAATGTATAAAAGTTTAAAAATTTAAAATAAAAAATTTCAATATTCCTAATAAGTTAAAGAATTTCATGTCAAATTCTTTTTCAATATTTTGAAAATAATAATTCTAAAAATTTGATTATCACTAGAAATTTTTATAAATTAGTTGATATTTAGCTAGCAAAGTGATAAGATCAATCGAATAATTAAATATCTAGTGCACTAAAATTAAATGAGATTAAGTTTAACAGTAATAAAAAAGTTAAGAAAAATAAAGATATTTTATACATAAGTGCATATAAAATGACATCGAGACGTCACTTGAGTGAACTGAAGTCTGAAATTCATTATCACAAAATATTTGCATATTATCAAAAATATGACAAAAACTTATACTTACCCACAAGCAGATAAAAAACATTATTTTTTAAACAATTAAAAAAAATATCTCAATATTGATCTTAAGTGAAAATATTTTTAGGTAAGTAAATGAAGACAATAAATTTTAAGTAATTTGGCAAACATCCAGATTTTTAAATATAAAAACAATAACATAAGTCAAAAGGTTTCACACTTCTAAGGTCGAAAAATTATTGTTTCAAAGCTTAAATTCAAATGGTATTGTTGGGTAGGTACTTATAAAAAATATTAATAATTAATTTGAAATGAAATTTGTGCAAAATTTTGAAAATTCTTGGATTCAATATTACAGTAGTTCGGTTTAAATTAGACTTAGTTTTCCGAATTCAATTTGAAACTTCAAGAAAATGATTTTGAAGCTCACGAATATTATTTTCACTTTTACAACTTTATTTGAAGATCTAAAATTTTTTTAATAAAAAAAAAAAAATATAAATTTTCGTAAAATTTTTTTTTTAAACATTAATGGTTCGGTTTTTTTATTTAATTTTTCATTCTGAGTCGATCGCGTGATTTTTTTTTTCTTTTATTAAAAAAAATTAGTAAAATTTTTTTTTCATGAATAAGCAAAAAAGTCCATAAAATAAATTGTCAACAAAAATTAAGAATTAAAATAAATATTTTTCTTTTTATTTTCACAATAGAATGTGGAAAAAGAGAAACACAGTGTGTACCATAAAGTAAAATATTCTTTTGAATATATATGTACATATGTATGTGGATACCTTAGATTTAAATAAGAAAAAAATTTTATTCAAAAAATTCTCTTCTACTATCACTATAAAATTTTGCATAAATTTAGGGGAAATTCAAAAAGTTTTAATCACATTTTAAATATTTATATTTAATTTAAGAATAAAGTTATCATTTTAAATACAATTACTTTATTTTTTTATGAAAATATAGAGAAAAAAATTCGAAAGTAGAAATTCGAGCGAGATACAAAATACAAAGAAATCAAACAGTTATCGGCAACTACAAACTGTGAAAATTTTGCCCAAAAATTGCATTTTCATGATTTAAGTTGAAGCAGAGAGAGATCTAAAAAAAATTTGTTCTAGAGAAGAAATCAATTTGTGTACAAAATTTCATTTTTTATATTGACCGAATTACAAGTTACATTTTTGCTAATTTAATTAATTATGTTAATTGTGTTATTCGAAAAGTGACTTCGGTTCTATCAAATACATATTTTCAAAATGTTAAATCAAATTATTCATTTATTTAAGTAATACTTAATTTTATTTCTATTTGCTACTACTTAGTATTTCTCTAGTCACAACTTCTTTATTAAGTATTCAATCGTTTAATTAATTATTATATATTAACACCCTCTTGATTGCAAATTCAAAAAGAGAAACAGTGAGAAGAATTTCATGAGAAAAATTCATGAGAGTGAGAAAAATTCAATTCAAAAGAAAGACCAATATGAAAATTATATTAGTAATCTAAAGCGTTCAACACGTTGAATAATATAAATTGGCGAAATCGGAAACAAAAATTTCTAGTTTTTTTAAAAAATTAAATATAAATTTTGACGTAGGCAAATTTTAATACTATATGCACATACTTGCACACATACTTTTATTATTTTCAAAAAATTGTCAAAAACAAATAAATTTAAGTATGTATGTACACAATAAAATTTTAATACTGTCACGGGAATTTTATTTATTTCAATTTTTAATTTCTTCTCAATTTCAAGTACAATACAATATCCCAAAAAACAAATACTCTTCTGCTCAATGCTATTCACAATTTCTCTCTATTTGATTCATTTTAACTTTTTCGATTATTTTTGTTGTATTTCGTGTTTTTAAAATAATAAAGATTTTAAAAATTTCTTTCTTTTCTACTGTCCATAATATTTTCAACAAAAACTGTACTATTGTATATCAATCATAATATTATAAGTGGATACAAAAACAAAATACTTTGTTTCATATCAAAAAAAAAAAATTATTTTTAATATTTTTTTTTTATTTTATCATAAGCAAATTTTCCAAACAAAAATAGATTTTTCTTTCTGTTTTGCTTTTTTTTTCTCTTGACTTTTATTTTTCTTAAAAGCCGGGGTATTCTAAACGTAATTTTGTTATTTGTGTATTCATGTGTGTAACCATTTTCTATACATATACCTATTTAAATAATATTATGTATATACCTATATATATATATATTTTATTTACTAAAATAAGAATAAAAAAATATAAAATCAATATATCACATCAACAATGTGAAAAATGAAACACAAAAAGAAACAAATTAAGTGTTTACATACCTATTGCCGTTAATGTTACGGTATATATGCAAATACGGGTAAAAATTGAAACTCATACATGCTAGTGTACAAAGAAATATGTAAATTTTTATCGAAATTTCTTAATCGAAAGAAGAGAGGAAAAACCTAATACTAAATGAATAAATTTTGGAAGCAAAATTTGTTAAATTAAAAATTTGCAAAAATCAGATTTGAAATAAAGAAATGTTAGGACAAAAATGCTGTAGAACAAAAGTTTCAAAATCAAATTTAAAGCATCCTTCTAATTTATAGAAAAGAATGTACTCATATTTCAATCCACATGTCTCTTTACAAAATTTGAAACGCGGACGTTGAAAATAACAAGATTTTTTTTGGAAATTTATAACATTCAAACAGCAAAACTTTCAATATTAATTGCCACCGACAAAAAAGAAGTTTTTTTTTTATATTTTCTTTCTCTCAAAAATTATAACTTTCAGCCAATTGTTTCTTTGAAATTGCATATAAATTAACCAAATTTCTATAAAAGTAATGGTAAATGTCATAGCACTGGAAATATATAAACAAATATCAAAAATACTTAAAAACTTCTTAATTTTAATTAAACAAACTTTAATTTTTGTTCTTCTCCCAAAATTATGCAATTTTTAAGAAACTATTTTATATTTTCAGTGATTAATTTTTCAAGTGTAGTAACAATTGTAATATTTAATTTTACGGTAATTTAGGGAGACTTTATCAATATATTAATTAAATATTATAAAATATGTCAATATAAATTTAGACAACCATACTTATCAAGTGCAGCGTTAACTTAAGTACAGCACTTATAATGGACTTTTACTCCATAAATAAAACTATATGAATTGTATGGATTGCTATGGTACTCATACCGTAATATTATATAAACAAAGTGTTAATGGAGAACATATTTATATACAAAAATGTATATGCGGACAACTATATATATATATATATGAATATATTTTTATGCTTGTAAGTATGTATTAGTTTAACTATAAACAATGTATATTTAACTACAAAATAAAGGACTATAGTGATGATGATAACAGATTTAGTGAGTTATTGACTGTTGTTGTCTGTTTGGTTTTTGTGAGGTAAACAAAAAGGAAAGGCAGAAAATGAGTGATTGATTACAAATGATCAATAAGTAAACACTAAAAATAAAATATAATAATAAATATGGGCTTTACAAATTTAAACATGTTAAATGATTATCCTATATATTTTTAATAAACACATCCACAAGTACTTATAGTTAAGTATAAAATAATAAAAATATAGATCAAAAAGACAAAAGAATGAAAAATAAAATAAAAGAGAATTAAAAGTCAATACTAAAACTGATATGGAAATATGTATATGTACATCTATTAGCGTACATACATACATACTCATAAATACGAGAATATCATCAGAACACAAGCCATGATACCATTATCATTTTAATAAAGTGATTAATAAATAATATTTATTTATGTATTTTTATACATGCACGCATATAAGAACTATTTAGGAAATTTAATTATGAAACTAGCGCAGTCATTATGAGTTCTGTCTATATTTTGGAGATGATATTCACTGAACCGATTCAAATAAAAATAAATCAATCAGTGACAAAAACATAACAAGTAAATTGTGAATTAATAATTTTATTTATAAGAAAAAAAAACAGATGTTTTTTAGTTTGAAGTAATTTGAGAAAATGAAAAGAAAAAATATTTTCGTAGAAATAAGCTGTGTTCGCTGTGTTTTAAACTGCTGTAATATTATTTTTATCAGCTTTTGATTCCATTTTTATGGACTTGATGCCTTGCAGAGTCAATTTTGAACAAAAAAGCTTGACAAAAAAAAAACTGAAAGTTTTTCATAATTTTCTTACCATATACCCATATCGTTATATTTTATAATTTTCTCCTTAAATTTTCTTTAGAACATGATAGCCTGCTCGTATTGAATTTACATATTAATTTTTAATTACAATAATGAAGCCAACAGAATTCAAAATGATCGCAATTTTTTGATTTTCTTTTCTGAATAACTTGGCTCAGTCTGATAGGAATTGGCATAGATTTTCCAATTTAAAGATGAGAAATTAAAGTTAGAGAGAAAGAAAAAGAGAGAGAGGAAGAATAGAGAGGCAAATAACAAGCTTACATAATTGAATTTTAATCAATAATATTAAAAGAAATAAGTTACAAGAATTTGTAACTGTGATATGTAGAACAATAATTATTTATTTACTTAACCGCAAATCAAGGAGATAATTTACAATAAATATATCCTCAATAAAACCGAATATAATCGGGAAAAAATGTAAGTCCTGTTCAGTTGCTTTAAAATACTTACGGAGGAATTTCTGTCCTTTTAAGTATTAATAAAAATTCATGACAATTTGAAAATTAATTGTATAAAACCCTTAAATAAAACTATGAATCATAAAAAATATGACAAATTTAAATGTGTAATATTTGTAAAATAGAAATGAAACCTCGTAAAAGTATATAAATTAAGTAGGAACAGTGAAAAATGTAAAACCGCAAAAAATTTGTACTATATTAGAATTATGCAGGCTACGCACGCCGACTTTTTAAATTGAATTATGTACATATATTTTTACATATTTATATCTGTTTGTATCTATATTGTGATTAGTATAATCTATAGATAAACATAAGTTTATTAACTATATCTATATAGAATCTAAACAAATTTGTTTACTAAAATAAAAATACTTTCTATCTTTCGTATAATCAAAAGAAGAAAATTCAGCAAAAAAATAAAAGAATATGAATTACTTAAGTTTTTTAAATTTTTAAGAATTTTTAAGAATAAACAATATTTTTTTTTTAAACTTGGTAGTATATAGGTATACATACATACGTATAAATAAATAGTTTCGAATTATGTAATAGAAATTTAAGTTTATTGAATTATTTAAATTGTATTGGTCAATTAATTTATAATGGCATTAAAAATTCATTCAAGAATCTGTTAAATTTTCCGTATACACAACATCTAACATATATTAATGTTAGCTTTTAATTATAACACAAATATTAATTACAAAATTTTATATTTAAACAATTCCTGAATACTTGGATATGGAACTTGTATAATCAAAATGAAATTATGTAAATTGTTAAGACTTTTTGTTTCATTGAAGAAAAATTTTTAAAAATCATATTTGGCATAACAATTAAGTTAACTAAATTTTTTTTTTTCAACATTTAGAAATAAAAAATTTTGTTTTAAGAATATTCCATTTAATCAAGTTTGATAAACATTTTAGAAAATATACTTTGCTTCAAAAACTTAAAGAAATTGTCATTTAAATAATATTCTGGCAATTAAATTTGAAAACTGCAACATGTCTTTTGGTTTAATTATGGAACATTTCCCAAGGAGTCTAATTCAATAAATTTGTCAATTTTATTTTTATAATATTCGGGGAAATTTCTAAATATATACGAGAATTATAACTATTCCAATGTGTTAGACTAAAATTGGAATATTTATTTCCTATTTTTTAAAAAATTATTACTAAATAATTAACAATTAAGTAAGTAATAAAATAGTGAATGTTTAATTCCAATAATAATAATAATAAACGAAAATAATAAAAATAAAAAATACCTGGTGGTGTTGCTGGTAATACACTTATTTGTGTTGTATCAACATGTGGTGCAAATGCTTCATATAAATCACTTTCTTCTTCAATACCACTTAATTTATCAGCATTAGCCGATGTATCACCATTAACTGGCATTTTGTATTTAATAAATTTTTTTTTTACACCAGCCAAACAATTACCAATTTTATATTATTTTTTTTCTTTTTTAATGTAAGTTTATATATTTGTAATTAATATACATGTGTTTTTATTTTTTTATGTATATATTTTAATTTTTTAATTTATTTTTTTTTTTAAATAATTTTATTATAAGTATTATTTGTGTCAAAAAAAAATTTTGTTTTTTAATTAATTTAATTTATCAATTCTTGTAAATTCTCAATTAATTTTTAATGTATACACTTTTTATAATACACACAGATTTTATTTTTTTATAATTTTATTAATAAGATTTTCATAATAAGTATTTTTTTTTTTAAATTAAATGCAATTGAGAATATTTTACAAAACAAAACAAAGAATAGTTTATAAAAACACCTTTTACAAATATATAAGTATATACATTTATAATAAGTAGTATAATATTAGAAAATAATTAAAAAAAAAATATTTTTTATATTCTTGGGTATTTTTAAATTTAACTTTTGTTTTTTGTTTCAAAAGGAACGAAATTCAATTTATTTAAATTATATAAAACAAAAAATATAAACCATTAACAAATTACACTTTTTATATAATAAATTAATTATTAAAAATTTATTTCTTATATAAATTTTTAGGTACTTATATACAAAAACAAACAAAAAAGTCTTTTTTAACTAATTAAAATTTTTAATTTCAATAATTAATAAAAATATTTAAAAAAAAAAACAATTTCAATATTTAAAACGCTACTTTAAATTTTAAATAATTTCTTTTTGTTTCGTTGATCGTTAATTAATTAAAAAAAAAATAATAATTTCAAATTTTTTGTTCTAAAAATTGCATTTAGAATTTCAAATTGATTTTATTTATTTATTTTTTTATTTAAAATTTATTTATGAATTCCAAAAATTAAAAATTGAAATGACTAGAAAACATTTACACAGATTTTTTTTTTTAATAAAATTTACGTATTTTTTGTTGTTATATTTTTGAATTTAAACACAAAATAAATTTTGGAATTTTTCAATTAAAAATAAAATAAATTTTATATACGTTATATATACACAAATAATATAGATTTAATTTAACATAAAATTATAGTCAATTCTTGTTATTATTTATAGGTAAATCACTTTTAAAAATATTTTTTATTTTTGTAGATTTTATACACGCGTACTGAATTTAAAGTTTTTTTAAAGAAACATTGAAAATTCAACTGGTATTTCCTTTTTTAGTATAATTTGTGATTTTAAGTAGTTTAACTATATAATAAAATTTTAGTAATTAAAAATGTTTTTCTTTTATATTTAATTTTATATATTTATATTTTTTTTTTTATTTTTGGATAAGCAAGTATTTTTTGTATACTGCTTTTTTAGTTTTATGTTTTACTTTTGTTCTTTCACTGTATATACCTTCTTATAATTTAAATTATTCCCTAAAAATGAAGCTAACTATATATATATATATGTATATAAATAATGATTTTATGGGGATAAAAAGATCCCTACACGATGATGTCTTGCTGAATTCATTATTGGTACTCTTTTTATGTGAGGTCTTCAAAGAGCATCTTCTATATTCCTCTGCAAATAAAAAAAAAATAAAAAAATTATTAATTAAAATAAATGTATAAGTACTTGCTTCTATAGTAAAAAAAAATTATTATGGTTAAACAACAAAATTTTAATGAAAATTATTTTAAGTGATGATTTGATTGTAAATTGTAATTATAAAATAAAATTTATTTAATTTTAATTCTTTAAAAATAAATATAAGTAAATTTAGCAATTATATACTTAAAAGAATATAATTTTCTGACTTCAATGGGTTAAAAATTCTAAAAATATATTTTTTTAACCACGTATTGTATCAAAACCACAAACAAATTCTTTTTTAAATTTCCCCCAGGTTAGTGTCCTTCAAAATTAGTAAATTTTGTATTTTTAGGGTAACTAGATGAATACAGCTACGAAATGAATTCATCATTGATGTTATTGAAATTTTAAATTTTGTTCTTTGCTTTAACTTATGCGCAATAATCAATTTTAACCACATAATGGGAAAAAATATGATGTGGCCGCAACACATTTCAGACCGCAAAGTGATTAGTTCAGCGAAAATTTTTCACAATAAATTATAAAAATGCTTTTTAAACAATTCTTTCAAATTTTAAGGATGCTAGTAAGATTTTATTTAATATACCAAGAAAAATCCAATTTTGGATCATAGTAAATTTGATTTATTTTATACCATACAAAGTCCCTGAAAAATTAGTCTTAATTAGTTCCTGTATTTTATCAATGAAAATTTTTGGCCTTAAATATGGTAAAAAATGTAAAATCAAAAAAGGTCCACTTCCCGAGACCTAACATATCCTGATCAATCCGTGGTATAACTAAAATTAACTCACATACAAATTTTCAACAATATCACTAAAAATAATTATTTACGATATCCACTATGGAAAAGTCCGTTTCAACCGAAAACTCGCTATTCGAAATTTGGTGCCATGGCATGAACTTCCCTATTATATACAAGTTACGTTTGAAACACAATCTAATTAAAAATTATTAAAATATATTTGATGCGAATTTATTATATTTTTGACCATATGGATTACTTAAAACTGTTATAAAAAATTTATTGCAAAGTAGTTGTTTGATAACGTAAATATAGGCGTATAATTTAAGATAAATCAGGAATTTATTTATACTTAGTATGGGAATTAATGAAAAATTTATATACACAATTTACATGTATACACAATACACTTATGTCACAAAAACATTTATATATATCACAATCTCATCTTACTTCTCTCTTCCCATAAAAATCTCTGCCTCACGCGTCTAATAATAAAGGATTTTTCATAAGTAGAAAGAAAAAAGTATTTTTATTAAACAATTAATTTTATTTACAATTTTATTTTATTGTTAAAAAACAGTTGATAAGTTTTTATCTTTGTAATTATAATTATATTTTGTTTTCATTTTTAAACAATATAGCCGCTATTTACAGTAAAATGAAAAAATTTTCAATGTTCTTTCAAAAATAAATAAGTATATCTACATATGTACATGTATAATGTACAGATTTGCTTCAAAACAATATTTATATTTAAACTAAGTACTTATAGTATATACCTTTAAAATAAATAATGATTATAATTTTTTTTTAATAATGTTACGAAGAATATTTTAGAAATGATTTGGCCACAGAGAGATATTTTTATTAAAATGATAAATAATTAATTGAATTTTATTTAAATATTCCTCAAGATCATATTTTATCTAATCAATATATCATGGTGAAATTCACGGAAACCCAGAAAGAGTTGAGGATCTTAGATATTATATTGTAAATAAATAAATAAATATATCATGGTGAAATGCAATGAAAATTAAAGATGTACTTAATAATTCTAGTTCCTCTACATAAAACAAAAATAAATTGTAAGTAAATATTATTATTATGTACGTTAATATATTTGTTATACTTAAGTAGTTAATTACCTAACTCCTCAATTTCCTTTTTCTACCCAATTCTAATATAATTTTAAATTTAGGTTAAATATTCAATTAACCAAAACATTTTTAAGCTAGAAATTTGGAAAAAAAAAAGATTAGTCCACAGTCGGCAACATTTTTTAATAATTTCTTAAAAAAATGGACATATGAAATTATAATTAAAAAATTTCCTAAAGAAAATTTTTTGTTTCAAAAAAGAGAAATATAGAAATTTTCGGACAATGAACGATAAATTAAGAAAGAAAGAGTAAGCAACCCTTTGTGTTTTATTAATAAATAATATAAATAACGTCGGCGCTCAAAATTTGGTATTAAAATTACTTATATACTTTGAAATAACAAGAATATTTTGCAAGAATACAAGAATAATTTTCAAAGCAAATTCAATATTGTTTTACAGTTACACACATTGAGTATATTGAAAAATAATTTTTGCGCCCTCATACAAATTCGAAAATCGTTCTTTCCTTAACGATTGTGCAAAATAAATTTTAAATAAAAAAAAAATTCAAAGCATATGCTTTATTCTAAGTTATACTTAAAAATCTAGGTAAGTACCGAAATACTCAAACTGCGAATACATATTCTTATATATATATACTTATATTTAAATACATAGTCATACTAATAAAAGAATGCTTACCTAAAATATCACAAAAATATTAATGAGAATTAAACTAAGTTCACTTAATAATGGAATTTTTGTTGTTCAACAACATAAAACTGTTTGAACGGCATCATTCACATGGAATTCAATTCATTTTTATTTATATTTAATTGAATAATGACTTCCTCATACATATATATGTATACTTACTTAAATAATAAGTAACAAATGAATAAAAATAATGAGTTACAACACAAATTGTAGAGTGATTTTATGGCGCGAAAAATAGCACCACACAATAATATTGATTATTTTCACATATGTAAGTATATCAACCCTACTTTATTTAAATAATAATAAAATCTCTGAAAGTACCTGTACTTATACAATTTTCATACTTTCTATTACAATTTTTGACGCACACACATAATTAGAAACCATATTAAATTTTACAAATGTACTTATATACAAACAGTTTTTAAAAGTAAGAATTTCATCAAGTGTCCTTTTTATACTAAAAATAGAAATCAAATGTGTGCAATGTTCATACAAAATTAAAATAGAAGACTCGAATTTGTGTGCTTGGTTAATATTTTTCTTTTTTTTTAAAGCACACATTCTTATACATAAGAAAAAATAAGCACATACATATGTATAACCATAAAACTCCTAGATAATTCAGAAAAAAAAAAGTATTCATACAATATTTTAATAACAAGGACAAAAAAAAATTGGCATAATTATGCTGGAGGCGTATAAAATTCAAAGCAAAAGAAATGAAGTGAAAGTTTTAATGAGCATTCAATAAAAGGAAAAAAATTTGCATTGCTTTACAGAAACAATTTGATCTCAATAAAATACATTAAGTATTATAAGTAGCTAAAGAGAAAAAAACAGAGGCTAAAGGGTGCCCACTCAGATAGTCCTCTGAGCAATTTATATTCATACAAAGAGATCCGAACGGAAACAAAAAAAAAATAAATTAGCAAATTAGCTATACAATATATAAATATAAGCAATAAAGGAATATTAATTAAAGTTGGTGAACTGAATGCACACGCAGAAATTTTTAATTTTAGGACCGTAAT